AACTACTCTATCAGGCCCCAAAACACCGCTCGAACTGCGTCCGTAAGCGATTACTAGAAGCCGCTGAAGCAATTGCGATCAGGCTGTATGAACCGGAGCTATGTGTTCAGAAGAAGCTAACTAAAGGCTTGGAACTGCCCTGGTCCAAACGACCGGTGACCTCTAACCCACGAGGTCACACGCGGTCGATCGTCGTGCCTTAACAGACAGCGCTGTCAGCATCCAATTAAATCGCTCCACTAGTAACGACTTATAATGTCTGTCTACATTTTGACTTTGATTTTGCATATAATTGTATAAGCCTGAAGATGAATTATCGAAAACATATGTTCGCTTACCCTGACCGGATTTTGCGAAGCTGTATCCCTCAGCACGGATTTTAGTGACAACTTCTTAGTAACATGGGGAACCTTGAAAGCCATAAGAGCAGTATTCACGTCCGTTGAAATTACTTCGTTAAAGTAAACCGAGGTAAATGGTGTTAAGTAGCGCACCCCTCCGATAGTCAAAAGAAAGTCCGTGAAACGATCAACTTCAGTTAGTGAAGAATCGGGGCATCTTTTTATACTGTACACAAATGGGGAATGATTGTATTCCAACATTGAACGCTGCGACTTTCTTCTTACTTTGCATTCATTGGTCCCACGCAAGGCTTGTCTGTCAGCCTCTGCTCCGCCTTCGTTTAGTCGCCTTCAGTCACGTTTGAGTAGGTAAGCTCCGCTTTGTAGGTCTAGTCTGTCGTTCCTACCTCTGGCTTCCTGATGCGTGCATCTGATCGGCCAATTTGCCATATAATTCCGAATGCCTTTCGTTCAAGCAGCTATCCGGTAGCATACTCTCCTGACTCACTTGCACTCCCAGTCAGTGATTGGCCGGCATGCATAAGGCCTGCTCCGCCGCTTTGCTCAAGCGACTAGCTATTCCCACAAATGGTGCCTCCAGTGCCTTCGGTCTGTAAAAATAGGGATATCGATTTTGCAAGACTGTCCTATTCGTCGCTTTGGACACAACAAACGTCATGTGCAGTTAACGTAGCTGCATTAGTGCTTGTTAGTGAATACTGCACCAAATATGAAGCGGTTCAGGGTATTAGCGGTGGTCTGCATTTCCTGGTCTGTAGACAACTGCAGAGGGTTGTAATTTATTTGACTATCGGCTTACAACTTTGAACCGATCCAGCCCCTACTCAAGCGCGATTGCTGTGCGAGTCGACACGCGTCAGTTCCATAAGTGCGTGCCGTACTTGCTAAAGGGACTACAGGAAATACCATAATCGTCTTGTGCGTTCTATCCTAGGTAGTACATAACCAGTGCTCTTTGGGAAAGCTCATCATGCTACGCCAGCAGATCTGTCTAACTATTTCACCATCGCGTTCTCCCGCAAACGCATTAAGTTAGTCAACATAGCTTCAGCTCATGCCCATGGTTGTTGTACGTGGATGTTCAATATTTCCGCAGCACGCCAACAGTTAACTCCCAACTAACGGCATGTGAGCACTTTACCTGCTACCCCATGCCAGCACTGAATTTACCGTTAACTAGATAAACAGTTTGTTTCTCGGCGGTGCGAGAGGCTGATACCGCCTTCGAAAAGATCAATTCTGACTCGAATGAGTTTCTTGAGGCCGTTAACGCATGCAAACTTAATATCCAACTGATGAGGAACGGTTTGGCAGTATATGTGAGCCGATGGTATGCATCAATTCACACGTAACTTAAGCTGTGCAGCCAAAATGATCCACACGTCATGCCCTAGTTACATCGCTCGCACGTGGTCACTTGCGGCCACGCAAGGACAGGCGAATAGGGTTTGTTGCAGGCGTCCAGTCAGATGTGCATGTGGTCAACAGCCTGTTCACTACTTAGCCCCTGCTTCTGTAGGACGGTGGATCAGTTATTTGTCCCCACGATTACAGTGCAGCCCACCGTTGTTGACCCCACAGAGGCCCAATAAGTACGTTCGATTTGTGTCTATAGCTACGAGGTTTGCATGTCGGCCGATTTGATCAACCCGCCACACGTTAGTTCGCTGCACACCGTACATTCTGCTCCGATAGCTACTGTCTCTGATGATGTACACTGGCTCAGTTATCAAAATGTGGAGTGTTGACCGCAACCCCTCCTCATTATGTCGACAATATCCAGGTACGTTTCATGCTCTGTGTCTAACGCGTGTTTTGCTTCCGCCGAATCTCAGTAGAGCCTTATATATCGACTCGTCCATCGGTGGCCGTGTTCTTTTTGCGCTGTGCACAGTTTGCCCGCGGTTTGTCCTAGGAACATATATTCACAGTTGTTGCCGCTGCGTTCGTGAACGCAGTCAGTTCGCTTGCATACGGGAAGTGCGCTTTAAGATACGCCAGTATCCACAGATTAAGAAAATTATTCCTTGGTTACCATCTTCTGAAAGGCGAACGACGTTCCTTTAACCTAAGATATTCTTACCGTCCCAATCCATTCGGTGGCATGTTTTCAATGCGAATTTAGAATATAGTGAATTTGGTGTTCCAATAACGGCTTCAGGTGTCTACCGTACAGTAATTACATCACAGTCAATTTCCAAGCGGCGTATCCATTTTCATCTGGGCGCATAGCCTGTCATTGCTAAACACATTAAATGAATCCAACATACATATGCTTTGAGTGACTTGAACTGCAACGCAGTACCCCATCTGTTTTCTCCGGTTGACGAAATATTGTAAGCCAACCATTCCCTGCGAACAGAGTACTCAAGGAGAGGCAATGCCCATTGAAAGATTCTTACCCTATGGTGAACAATTTCAAGTGCTCCACAAACTAACTTTTTACGCACGTCCACCAATGTGCCATCCACTTGGAAGAATTAACGTTTCGACCATTTACTGGGGATTGCCAGTATCGTGGACAGCAAACTGGGCATTGCGGATCTCATAGCAACACTCATTTCCTGAGTGCATAGTTCCGATTGTAACCCAAGCTAAAACACAACAGGGTGCAATGCCTTCCTCTCAGTTGTTTCAATTACCTTAAGCTCCGACCACTTCCCACGTTATTCTATCCAGTCAAACAACATTTCACCGTCGCTATTTTCGTCGCTTGCTGGCACATTGGTGAAGAGCGTGCTGACGTCGACAAAGATCATCATTTCATCTTTTGTCCCACAAGAACTCATGGCGATATTTTACAAAAGTATTCGTCCACCCTATCAACGGCTGCAATAGACTAGCAATTGCATACAAATGCAAGCTGTTGCTAATCCGCTAATAGTAGCACAACTAACACTGTACAAACCCGCAATTTCCCCTGCAGTACATCGTGCATTGCGGTGCCTATGTTGGTGGTTACCTCATCATCATGCTCTATAAGCAACTAACAGATAATTCAGCCACACCCACCGTTATTGAACGATTGAACTGCAACCTCCATTGCTCCGTGTTAGCTCATAGTGAACGCGCGTACTGATTATTTCACATGGGCATTATTATCCGTACACGATCACACCTAAACACTGCTAACCATAGGTCAATCCCCGTGAGGTTGACGAACATGCCTGCTAGCATGCACGCTGCTAGCTTCAGTGTGGCCAATCGGTACTGAGTTTCATCCTTGAGCTGACGCCATGTCCGATGCGGTTGCGCCCACCAGTGAGCCCTGTAAAATTTGGATGTTGAATCACTGGTCACCGTTGTGCTGTGGGTCTTGAAGCCGCTCAGCCGTTCATAGATGTCACGTGCTAGGCAGCACCGCACTCTATAGTGAAAAGAGCACACATGTTTGACGTGCATGCGTGAATCACGTGGCGTGTCGCGTGCGCGCTAGGCTAATCATCATCAATACGTTAGTTAGGGCGAGAAAAACGACAGCCCAGGTGCCGCAATACCAAGTCGGATACAGAAAGGTACACAAAAAGGTCAAAAGTGTGTAATGTAATTTTAAATATGGTAATTATTCGCGCGGGATCGGAACTGGAGGGGAAATCTAAAACGGAGGGATGGACAAAGAAACACAACGCAAACGCCACTGGGATCGGCTGTTCGCCATATCATCATTTGCACATGTGTTTAACAAGTTGCATGCATGGACCAAACCTGCTGCAACACTCGTTGCGGTACGCAGGTCTGAGTACTCATGCCTCCGTGTAATGTGTCATTAGTTGGTTTGGAAATTCGTCACGACAGTCGACACGTATTTGTGCGTGTGCTGAACCCTGGATACAACTTGATGTCCTTATTAACTGTCGAATATTCTTACGGAGGAACACGATTTGCTTAAGGTTTTGATTTCTTTATGGATACGATTTACTCGGAAACGCTATAGTTCGGCTTTGTGGTTACTTAACTCGTGTTTCGGTGGCACTCTGTTGATTTTAATGTGAGCTGCATGAATGCTCTAACTGGTATCATGGAATTTGTAACTTTCTAACTGCTAGCGACGTAGTTGCTAATGGTCAATCGTGAATTATCATACGTCGGCTGTCGATTGATGTTAGATCTTGCAAACCCCCCCCCCCCCCCCAGTGGGCAACCTAGTACTGACGTGAATCGCGGAATGGATTGCCATTTTTAAATGGCCATTCCATAACAATGCTCATAAGTAGTTTGAAAATCCCGCATTTTATGATCGCAATTCCCTTATTGGTCTGAAGCGAAGCGTGCATATGAGCAAAGTATACTTAACGGTAGCGGCCTTATTACTACATACTTGTGTGCTTGGTAAAGATACTAATGTGACTTTCAATGCACTCGCTTGCTTCCAAAAGGTAAAAATGATACTTTTGTCTAACATCGCAGATCATTTGCGAGATACTTAATACCGAGACCTTAAATAGTAAGCCAATCTATTGATGCGAGAGGTGCAGGGTGTGTGGTAGACCTAGTTGTCCGAGTTATTCATGCAGATCCGTGATAACTGTGTCGCGATAAACACCATGCACATTGCTTATAACGGAAAAGAGAAAAACAAACAGTTAAGCTAGAGAATTCGTGTCCACTGTGAATGCCGATGAATGAATGTAAGAGAGCTTACGTGATAACGAATTGGTTCAACTCGGACGGATCGATGTTGAAGACGGCGTTCAGCACGTTTATCACCCTGAGTGGTTCTTTGTTAACAGTGTTCGCTTCCTCCTCAGTACGGAAGACACGGATAGTCATGGAAGCCTCGTCGAATTCGTACCACTGACGTTGACTGCCCTTGAGACGCTTGAACGCTACGTCAACGAAATATTCACAGATAAATTTGATAGTAGAATGCTTACACATGTCCATAAGAAGTGCAACACAACGCAAATGTTCGAAGTTGGATTGTATGGTTCGAAACGCCTTTGAAGGCGTGAGTTGTTTTAGTAATCATGACAAATGGACGATAACAGTTGGTTATGTAATCTTTCGCCATGGGAAATTGAAGTTAATTCATACAGAATTGGTAGATCTGATTTAAATGTTTAAGTTGGAAAGGTTAAGCGGAATATTGCACTTTCTTAATGCTGCCACATGCTCAAAATTGCATGAATATGAGGACCAGCAAGTAGAAATGATGATACAACGTTCGATGTTACAGCTGGGTGTGTTTTCATACACATACGTGTGAGGCTGATGTTGCATTTTTGATGTTTGTTCACCGCAGTTGGGCTAAACCAAGTTACACTTAAACTAGGTCTTTATATTGTGGATAAAATTCATTTCACTTTTTTTTGGTTTGTTCTCCCTACTTGGTAATCTTCTCCTAACTTGCACAAGTTGCTCATGCAAATTGTGGTAAAATTGAGTACTTATATCGCGTGGTATTTTGTAAATTACCTTCGGACATTTTGTGCTTATTGCGGATTCACTTATAACCAGTTTCTGCCATATGTTCATGTAGTGAGTTTTTATGTCATCATATGCGTCTACTTCATTTGATATCGGCATTTCGAATGATTGGCTGTTGTTTGACATCCCAGGTTTGGCTGCACTTGATGTGCATGTTGACAAGGTGCCTACCTGTCTATTACCCACTACCTCGTTCATACTGGCTCCAGGAGACAGTTGGTCGTTGCTGGAGGGGACGGGGTGCACGGTCCTTGTGGCCGTGTTAGGATCAAAGAGTGGTTCCATGCACTCAGTGTGGAGCGGATTACGATCCAGCCACCGCCTTGTGTGCGCTTGATTCCCCAAATACAGCGTGCTTGTGTTTGCCTGTGAAGGAGTGTGGGCCGGCTCCGTTGATGAAACGGGGCTCCCATCCGCATGCCTCCCGGTCTTATTCCTTCGGGTTTACACTGGATATGGGGTGTGTGGATGGAGCTATGGTTGGTGCAGCGCAAGCCATCCATGGTACCTCTGTAGGCGCGGGCGTCCTGTGACTGGCCACAGTGACAACAAATCCGAAACCGGATGCCCGCCAACCATGTATAAACGTGATCCATAGGAGGTATTTCACTGTGAGTTGATCGCTTAACAATTAGCTACTTGTTTAATCGCTGCTAAGTGTGCCTGAATTCACATTGGAAATCCAGAAACAGGTTGAAGAGTCTGTTTCCGAAAAGGTTTATATACCGTTTTCCGCAAGCATAAAGCAGACGCTCATTATATAACAGGAATTAAGTTGGCCTGGTCGTCAGCGAGCATATATTCCAACATTTGCAATTATTACCACCAGAAATGCACCCTTATTATGAGTTAGAAACGCGTGCTACTGAAAATGCGTAAGATGGACTTCTCTGGAAGACAGCTGTCCGCGACATAAAGCGAATAATCCCCTGAGTCATCCTACAGCTGCACGGGATGAAGGTATCTCGCAGAGACATAAGTTTATGCCCATGGCACAACTCATTTGGTATCGTAATAATCCAGATCTTACAAGTACAGCGTTTAAAATGGTAGGGGAAGTTAATATATGCTACATGAGATGCCTCTCAACCAAATGTAGTGCGCAGAATCACCGTACCCTTCTGAAAACGTAGCATATATATATATATATATATATATATATATTAGAACGGACATCTTGGAGCAGAAACAGCCCATATGGTAGCACAAATCTGTTTTGGAGAAGGTTGGCGTGTTCTTTTCTCTTACCGCAGTGCCGTTGTGGCACACACACTTTCTGTTCCAACCAGAATAGGTAGCAAGATGAATTATGGTAGGTTTTATTATCTGCTTGGAACATAACGACTGTTAGCAATGCTATTCTTTTGCTGATTATGAAATGGCATCAGCAGTACGCCAGTACGTAGTACCGACGCTTCGCTACCGTGCGAGCACCATTAGTCCCAAAGCGATCATAGAATCCCATCTACTATCAAAACATGCCAACAGCTGGTCCACAGCTAGAAAGGGAAAGGAATCGACGGTACATGGGCACACCGTACCGAAGCTTCGCTACCACGTGACAACTATCAGTCCCGCCAAAGCTGAGTATACTGGCAGGTCCCCCACATCTAAAAGGATTCGAAAGTGCGATCCCTCTATCACAACGCAGCACACAGTCCTTTCCTTCACCGGAAGATAGCGGCGTGGAAAATAAGTAGAATGCATTGGTTTTGGTGTTGTATAGCCCATTACAGGGCACTAGTCTTTCTGAAGAGCCAACACAGGTTTCTGTGCTACTCAGTGTGAACTGGGTTACTGGTTTTTTCTCCCAAAATCAATACCCTTCTCCATAAAATGACATCATAAGTAGGGAGCAAATGGCTTGTTTAAGAGATCTGAGATATTTGGTAGCCCCTATTGCTACACGAACTAGATATCATGGATTGCAAGCCATCAAATGCTGTGTGCAAATTTTGGTGCTTCTCACCTCCAGCTAACTTCTGAAATGCTGATGATGATGAAACCATCGATTACCCTCATCCACACCATCGCATTCGAGTATAGAATGCTTGAGAATGAAGAAATGATATGCGTCGTAGTATGGTCATCGTAATCCGCTCATAAGTGTTATTCTGCTGACCTTTCACCAAGCCAAGAGTGTGCCCGGAAAGCACGTTTCAGCTTTAACATCGCACTTACGTGCGCTCTTTATGCGAGCATTCCGACATATACAATACCGATAAGTTATTCAGTAGGATTTCAGACTCGTTCAGTACTCTTTGCCGTCTGGCATTTGAATCCCCGTCTGATAGTTAAAGTACACTTGACAAACTTTCGCCGACAAATACCGAAATCTTTGTTAGAGTTTTCAAGGGATTAATGTGTAACATGGAGAGAAGCGTTGCCACGGACTACATTGGAATACTATTTGCTATTAGCTGCGCTCCATATCCGATCAGAGAGACGTAATCACGAATATTTTGTACATAGTTGCTACTGATCGGCTGCAGCCGGATTTAAAACTGAAAGGGGTTTGTCTCATATAGTAATATATTTCTCCGCGGTTCGCCACCTCCGGTTGATCCTTTCCTGGTTTTGTTACCAAGATTTGTTCTTGTTTGGTTTCTCCATGCGCTAGCCTTATTTCGTGAAAATGACGATGTCATTCATTTCATATCAGATTATGATTTTTCAACCATTAAATACTTGTATTATTTACATTTAATTTCAGTGATCATACTATTGCTCTCTCCTCAACTACTGGTCGCCATGTTGGTCACGGGTTATTCTTAATGCCGAAACCATCACATTACGGTGCCTGTTCCATGGTTGTCGGAAGTCCAGCAAATGCACTCAGGTGTGTTATGTGTTATGTTAAATTCCACATTTCATGCGTTTTACAATCGATTGGGCAATTCCCTCGTTTTCGTGAAATTCAACAAGAGTTCGGTAAAAATGTGAAGTTGGAATTACCAAAATGAGATACAGCCGGTCAGAGTAGAGCAGAACTACAAGCACGATGAATCATTCCGTTGCAAAAATCTTCGTGTGTTTGGCCCAACAAACTAACCTGAAGCACTTCCAGGTTTTAGTTAAGTTCTCCTCTACGTCTCGTGCAAACCCACCACTATTGCATATAGCACAGTTTTACCTGACAAGAACCCTCTGCTTGTTGCTGTCTTTAGTCACAGTTGTCCAGCTGCGTGAAAATCTGTGTACTTAAGACAAGTGGAGGTTACAAGGAAAGAAAAGTCAGTAGAATGAAGTATGTTTAGCCTCCGTAAATCAAAGGCAGGCCGGACCGCATGAAGCGCGAAAAAATCCTCGCCTTGCAAGATGAAGTTTTGTTGACCACGTGCCTGAGTCAAGTGATCCAACTCCCTGTATGCGCTACGATCATGACGTCGGGTTTTTAAGGAGCCTAATTCATGGGTTCACCTACGTATGTCAGAGTGGGATGAAATCGAAGCAAGTTATCTGTCCTGGAAAAAAGTGACTAACTGTTCTTCCACCCTACCGTGCGGCTGCACTGTAACTCGT